GCATCAGCCTAGAAATGAGCATATGGAGGCAGCCTTGAGAGTTGTACGATATATTAAGAAGAATCCAGGACAGGGAATACTGTTGGACTCCTCAAGTGCGTGTTATCTGATTGCCTTTTGTGATTCTGATTGGGCAACTTGCCCAATATCAAGGAAGTCTGTAACAGGATGTTGTGTAAAACTTGGGAATTCCTTGATTTCGTGGAAGTCAAAAAAGCAGAACACAATAGCTCGTTCTTCAGTTGAAGCTGAGTATAGAAGTATGGCTATGACTACAGCAGAATTAGTTTGGCTAAGTGGACTGCTAAGCGAGCTAGGAGTGAAACAGGACCAACCAGCCAAGTTGTTTTGTGACAGTAAGGCTGCACTGCAGATTGCTTCTAATCCGGTTTTCCATGAGAGAACAAAGCACATTGAGATTGATTGCCACTTTGTTAGAGAAAAAATTCAAGAAGTGTTCATCACTGCTGAACATATTTTCTCAAGGGAGCAGCCTGCAGACATCTTGACAAAAGCACTCGGAACACAACAACATGAGTATTTGACAGCCAAGTTGGGGTTTTAAATGTTTTTTACCTACCAACTTGAGAGGAGTGTTAAGATAACAAATGATCAGTTAATTTGTTAGTAAGTGGTTAGTAGACTGTTAGAGAATTAATTAGAAACAGTTACTTTTCAACTCTTGTATTATAGCTTGTACATTGTATTGTAGCTTGTACATTGTATTATATATTGCAGGTCAGCTAAGCAATAAAAGATACGAGGCATTATTTTAACAAATATGCGTGGGTTTTGGTGGTGGGAGCAGGAGGATTGGGTTGTGAGCTGCTTAAGGATTTGGCTCTCTCGGGTTTTAAAAACCTTGAGGTCATCGACATGGATCGAATTGAAGTTACCAATCTCAACCGTCAATTCCTCTTCAGGTTTTTGTTGTTTTTCTCATTGTGATTCTCTTTAATTTTCTTTTTGGTTTTTATTTCTCGATTGAATTTGCTGCTATGTTTACATTAAATTGATTATCTAACTAAAACCTGAAAATAGCTAGCACTTAAATATATTTAAAAGCTTCGAATTTTAGGGTTCGATCTTAGGGAAGGAGATGATTTTTCGTATCTCATAGCAACATTCTGGTGAGGTTTTCTCATTTGTAAAAATAATAACCGAGCACATAAAGATGCATGGCTGTTTTGAAAAAAGATTAGATATTTATTTGGTTTTGTATATATATTATCATCCGAGCTAGTTTTTTGCCATCATTTTATTTGATTTACTACCTCTTTCTGCTGTTTATATCTGTACATTTTCTGTGCTATTTAATTTGTATTTGGGAGTGTTAAACTTGAAGTTTGTGTAATCCCGGGTGTTAACAATACTTGTAGGCTGGAAGATGTTGGTAAGGCAAAGGCTGAGGTCGCAGCAAAGCGTGTCATGGAAAGAATTAGTGGTGTGAATATTGTGCCCCATTTTTGCCAAATTGAGGATAAAGATATTGGATTTTATAACGACTTCAATATCATTTCCCTTGGTCTTGATTCCATTGAGGCTCAAAGCTATATTAATGCTGTAGCTTGTAGTTTCCTTGGTGTGTTCTTTTAACCTATTTCAAGCTGACTTTAATCTCTTGATTTTTGCTTTTTATAGCTACTATGTTTGGCCAATGGCATTTAGAATTTTGGATTTTTCAGAATGCATCTTAAAGCAAGGGATAGAAAAAAAATGCTCTAATACTCATTTCTATAAGTTCATCATCATGGCACATTGATGGCACGTAAGGTTAATAGGTTATAAGTAGCCTTCTAGCATATACTTATGTTTATATGATGAGATGTGAAAAGAGTGAGAGCTTAGAACTATGGCATGTTTCTCAACATTTTTTAATAGCTCAAGACAGTTTTAATCCCGTAATACTTAGCATTGAAGGATGAGTGAATTGATCACTAAAAGGAGTGAATGTGATACTTTGAAGTGCAAAAATGATAGAACCTGGTGGCCGGTAACCATGCCATTTGATTCTTTTCTTTTCTTTTCTTTTCCCTTTTTTGCTTGCATGGTTTTTCTAATATTCTATCCTCTAGGTTCATCTTCATGGCCCAAATATAGTAAATAGGGATAATATATCATACTTAAGTCATATGGCATATGCTCATTGCTTATATGATGAGATGTTAGAAGCATGAGAACTCAGGAGTTGGGACTATGGCATGTCTCAACACGTTTCGAGTCTGAGACATTTTTAATCCCTGTGTGTATTCTTTTTTTTTAATCATGAATTCTGAAAATATATCTTATCTTTTCCATCTACATTTCTTTTCTTCGACGTGCCAGACATTTATTTGTCACAATGATTTTCTGTGTTGAAAGTGGCTAATACTCTAATGTGCCTATTTTATTTAAGAGTATGATTCTGATGACAATCCACGAGAAGAAACTATGAAGCCTATGGTAGATGGTGGGACTGAAGGTTTCAAGGGCCATGCTAGGGTGATTGTGCCCGGGGTCACACCATGCTTTGAATGCACAATCTGGCTATTTCCACCTCAAGTGAAGTTTCCTCTATGTACCCTAGCAGAAACCCCCAGAAATGCAGCCATTGTATTGAATATGCTCACTTAATTAAATGGGATGAGGTAGTAATTTTTCTTGTTTCTGCTTTCTTAAATAGGTGCCGTATTTGTTGATTCTGATATTTCATGGCTATTCTGTTCTCCCAACATTATAGGTTCACAGTGGGAAGGCTTTCGATCCGGATAATCCGGATCATATGAAGTGGGTTTATGATGAGGTTAATTATATGGATCTTTCTAGCATTTTTTTCCTTCAAATTGATTTTACATTTTTCATTCTTTCGCTAATACACCCATATGTCACAGGCTGTCAAGAGAGCTGAGCTTTTCGGCATTCCTGGAGTTACTTATTCTCTTACTCAGGTATTCTGGGATTTGTGATTTATGTATGCTTGATTGACGTGCAGCTACTACTACTGGTGTTCTTACTGATTCCTGAAGAAAATAACTTATATTTAAGTTGTCCAACGTGTCAATGTGGCTTCTTAACAATTTCTTCTTAGCTACTTTTTGAGATTTTGATACTTCTCAACTTATGTATCAGCAAATGACATTCTTATGCCAGATTTAAAGTAATAGTTTTAGTTTGTTACAAGTATAAATTGTTGCATTCAGAGCGTCGTCTTCTTTTTGACAATGGAGTTTTTGTCTTCCTTCTTTGTTGCAAGTGTTATACAAGTTTCTTTGTTACTTGCAGGGTGTTGTAAAAAACATCATACCGGCCATTGCTTCCACCAAAGCAATTATTTCTGCTGCATGTATGTTGGAAAGCTTGAAAATTGCATCTGGATGCAGTAAAACTCTATCAAACTATCTTACGTATGTACAGTTCTATATCATTGCAACTTGTGATGATTTGGTGGCAATATTTGAATGATTTTGACATATAATCTCGTTCAGATATGTTGCTTTCGTTAGTTATTTTCCTTGTATAGTGTGTACATAACACAATGATAGTAACAATTATCTCTGAATCTTGGCTGCCAGTCTCCCTGAAGAAATGCAAAAATGTCGATTTTCCAATTGCGATAAATTGATGAAGTCCATAAGCTAAATTGATATTTGCAGTTGGATGAACAATTATTGTTTTAATTTATCTCTGGCTTTAAGACAATGATATAGGTTTGCTTATTATTATCTTTCCATGTTGCTCATCTAGCTAAACCTCGGAATCCACTGTCAAACTGCTTCTGTAGGTATAATGGTGTTGAAGGTCTTCATACAAAAGTGACTGAATTTGTGAAGGACAAGGACTGTCTTGTCTGTGGTCCGGGTTTTCTCATCGAACTGGATACTACAGTTACCCCGAAAAAGGTGAACTTTTTGCAAAATTTATGAAGCTGTTTGTTTTTGTAAATTTTAATATGCAAATCTCATTTATGCTTTTTTTCCCGTTTGTTTTCAAGCAGTTCGTCGAAATGTTGGAGGAGCATCCTAAGCTGCTGATGACAAAGGCCTCAATCACATATCACGGAAAGAATCTATACATGCAGGCTCCTCCAATTCTGGAATAGATGACCCGATCGAATTTAGAGTTACCCCTATATGATCTCATGGATAATATCACCAAAGATGTGCTCCATGCAACCGGTATAATCGACAAGGACAACAAAAAGTCATCTGGTTTAAGAAAATTACAGGTTGTTTTTAAGGGAGTTGATGGGGTTACAGATATGGACATGGATGGTGGTGCATGATCATCACTAATATAGATCATACTGATTCTTGAACAAATTTTCAATCATAATTGCAGTATTTTCTTAGATCCAAGTATTGTTACATTTTGAACTTTTAAGTTCCAAACTGTTTTCAACGGTACATTTGTTTTAACTTAAAGATTAAGGTGGTCGTCTTATGAACCTCTATTCTATTTTATCATCATCATCATACATGTCTCTTTTAAGTCTTCTGATACCATTTTTGTAAATAAAAATTTTCGTGAACTCGGATGTGAACCCAAGTGCTTCATTATGCCCAAACATGAGCTGATCGTTCGTTGGGGGGTTTTGTAGAACATCAAATTCCCTCAAATGGAAATGAAAAGTGGGTGCATGTAAACGATCAAGACCTCTTATGCAACACTCCTTGTTTGGAGTTTGGAACAAGGAGGTAATCATTAACTGTATCTTCTTTGTGTCATTTGGCCTAAACCACACCTATTTACTGCCGGAATGGGGCTCAGCCACCAAACCGTGCATGGGACGAGTTTCTGCCCCACACAGCTGGGGCCAAAGGCCAGGGAAAGCTTAGCATTAGGAAGTCGGGATCTTGGTCACGCTACCAGAGGTGATGGTATTATGACTTTACTTGAGGGTCAAATTAGAGCTTTTTCGGATTTAAGTCGAACAGAGCAGTTGAATCTGAGACCGAAACCGATGATCCAACCAGTTCAACAGGTGGCATAACTGATTATAGTGAATCGTTAAAACTGAATCATTTTTCACATTTAGATCAAAAGGCCCAAATGAAAGCTGAATGTCAAACTTGTGTTGTGAGTGATCAAATATACAAACAGCATACCGAATAGGAGAGAAAAATAAACACTTTTCCTAGGAGTGATTTTGACAACTAAAGTTGAGACTCTTGGCACATGTATAAAGAAATAAGCAATGCAGGACGCGAGACAACCCGCTAAATCAGTGTCCTCACTTTACGCCACTTGCATTAGATAATATCCATCATGACGAAAAAAGTTATTGCCACCACCAATCAGCCAATGCCTTGTGCCAAATGCATCATTGATCACTCTGAAACACAAACAAAGTCATCAAGGTTAAGCACTTCACATGACCTAATATCCATGTCCAAGGAATATTCAATTTACATATATAAAAAAAATTACTGAACAGAGAAGTGAAAGAAGACGCCCATGTTTCTAAAGGAATGTTGTTACAATAATGGATGCTAGATCAGGTGATTAACCATCAGCAGCAATGAATTGATATAATTTACATTTAGAAAAAGGTTCGGGATACCTGGTGGAGAGAAGCTTCTAGTTTGTCAGGCGTGATACTAGAGAGATGAGATGGTGCTTCGGATTTTAAACCACGAGCAAATTCTACGTGGTTATTAGCAAGACTCTGAGCAATAACATTTTCTTCCACGTCCTTTCCCTTAAATAAAAAGTTTAAGGTGCAGCCTGTGCCACCAGAAGCAGGCTTGGAGGCTCCAGGTCTTTTCGAAGAAATATCTAGTCGCTCAATCATTTTTGCAACCCCGGCACTCATCTCACGCTGCACTCCCTTGCTGACCTCCTTAACAGAGTTATTACGGGCAAGAAGCTTCTCTTTCAGACCTCTGGTACCTTTAGAAATTGATTCCTTATATCTGTTAAAATGCATTAATGCATTTAGTAACAAGTAGATCTGTCTAAAAAGCTCAATGGACACGCAAATACCTGGCTGAAGCATTGGACCATTTAGATTTTATAGACTCGGAGAAAGAGACTGATTCAGCTGAGCTTGGTCTACTTGGAGTACCTACTGGTGGTTGACTGAAGAAAATCAGAAAATTTCACGGCGTTAATGACTAGATAAACAACAATATGAATTGCCAATAAAAATAGACCACTTCAGAGAAAAACCATTTATAGGTTCAAAACATTATAACATATAAGTACTATTATAGTTTAATGAATTTTGATAGGCAACAACTAAAAGCCATGTCAGAAGATCTCTAGTGTATACATAATATAAGCCTCACACATTCTTTGATGGAAGCAAATTTTAAGGATGACCTTCCAATAAGACATGTTACAAAAGGCATGTTTCTAACAAGGTAGGACAGTAATACGAAATAAGAACCTCAATTTGATAGCTTCATCTCCACTGGAAGCAGCACTAGATACCCTGTTAACAGATGGAGTCACGGGTGACCGAGGGCTAGTAATAACTAATGGTATGCCCGAAGCACGTGAATCACACTGGGGTAACCCATGACTCAAGGTTTGGCTTTCATCAGGTGAATTTGGATATAGATGCAGCGTGCCTGGCATGTTTTCAGGAGAGGTAGAAAAAAACACTTGCGAAGGGCCAAGTCCAGAAGATCTTTGTCTTTCCCTTCTGCGAACATAACGAACTCTGCTCGCAGCAAATGCTAGATGCTGCAAAATGTGTTCATCAAAGTCCGAGTCATCTGAATGAAACGCATCCTGAGACCACAAGAAGATTTCATCAATAAATAATTCTGAATGAGTAGAATAATGAGAGTAAATACAGACAAAAACTTCTAAAGAACCAAATAAATCACCTCCTCAACACCAAAGCTGTCGTGGAAGTGATGCAAATCTGTGGGCATGACTGATGTGTTCCTTGACCTGTAGTTCCTTTCAATTCTGACAGCATCTAGAAGCTGTTGACTGCAAAGATGCATAATATATAACCAAACTCGTTGATTAGCTGATGGTTTCTGCCTATTAGCATCGGACTAAAAAGAATACACATATGAACAGAATCAGAGAATAGGCAGGGAAATTAACATGTTACACACCTGGCAGGGTCCTTTAGGACAAATGACTGCCAACATATTGGACACTCTTTGCTTCTTTGTGACCTAGTCGAAAAACAAGTTCAATTAGGATTGACAGCAATAAGAACATATAACTATAACATTATTGCATTCCGAGAAAAAACCATGGAAGATGCTCTGTTTCCTAGAAAGAAACAAGTCTAAGGGACTGTTTGTTTGCCTCTTAATGGAATCATTCAACGCTGAATGCTAAACTGTTTAGCATTCAGCGCGTTTGTTTCGCACCTTTGAATGATTCAGTACTGACTGATTAAGCAAAACAGTGTTGAATGATTCAGTACAGAAGTACATTCTGAATGATTCAGAGCCATTATCAAACAACATGTCACATTCAGAGCTAATTCATACAGAGCCTCTGAATCATTCAGCGCTTAATCATTCTGAAGTAAACAAACATCCCCTAATTTTAAAGTTAGAAAGATACTTACCATTCAAGAATGCATTGAAGATGATATTCATGTCTGCAACTGGTAACCTAAAACAAAAAATAAGATTCAGAAAGCTTGACCCTTCAAACAAAAATCTAGAGGCAGTGACACAACCAGATAGAAGGCGTATAATATAGGTTTATAACATGAAATGAGTAAAACTCATCATAATGCAATAGCAGAGAATAACATAATGAAAACAAGTAAAAATACTCTAATGTTGTTGGCAGTGTTGATATTCATAATAGTAGAATTAACAGAAACCCATTCCCCCTAATAAATAGCACAGATAAAATAATGTGTTCAAAAGTTCGACATCCGAATAATCAGAACTGGCAAAGTTAAATTCATCTCTATTCTGTGCTTTTGAGCAAATTATCTGCCAAAGAGGGAAACACGTACAGAGTCCGTGCATCAATATCCATAAGACATGTGTCCTTCAACTGCACCAAACATATTGCTAAATCATATACTAAGCCTCGGGAGTAGGGGAAAATTAACAGTAGATTTTCAACCTCATAGAGCTAATAATAAATCGAATCAAACAGTAAAAGTAAGCGATCAGACATCACAATTTACCTCAAAGTTAAAAGGTCACAAAATCAAACAATAAATTAACAATCACGGCAGTAAACGCAAAATCATAACCAGGCAGCGAGTCCAACCAATGCTAATTAAACAGTGGCACAAAATCTCAAAGAACTACAATCAACCTAAACTGCAATCTACCAACTCAATCACAAGATTAACAGAGTACAAAAAAAGGGGTTAAATCAATTATTTAATAGGAGAACGAGAAAGTGTGATGATTCGTACACTGGTGGGGTCATGAACAGTGAAAGGCTCGAGACAGATACAGCAGCCGTCTTCGACACCGTCGTCAAGTGCTCCACCAAAAGAAGACGGCGGCGGCAACGACGAAGATGAAGCCGTCGTTAATGCGATCGGCTTCTCGAACAACGAACAAGCAGCAGCAATAGAAGGCGAAGGAGAGGAAGTGAAATTAGCCATGAAAGCAAAAATTTGTTAGGCAGAGCAAAGAAGACAGAGAAACGTGAATTCTGTAAAAAGAAAAGAATCGAAGGAAAGCAACCCTAGAAGAAAAGGTCAGTGTTTGCGTTTGAAAACAAAAAAAGTAAAATACCGAAAGCAAAAGAATATTAACTTATGTAATAATTACGAGAATTAAAAAAAGAAATAAAGAACTGAAAAAAAGGTGGTTTTTTTTTAATATATTACCCGTGAACAGTATATTTTTTGATTTAACATCGATCAGATTATATTTTTTGATCTAACACTTTTAGTAGTAAAACGTGCCTCCTGCACCGCGCTATATGATGATTTGGTGTCACGTGGGGTATAGTGCGCCCTCTGCATCGCGCTATACGGTGATCTAGCATACACGTGGGTATAGCGCGGCCCCTGCAGCGCGCTATACGCCACGTAGGGGTATAGCGCGGGGCAGGTACCACGACATACCTTTACTACTGACATAATTTTATATAGCGCGGGGCAAGTACCGCGACATACATTTACTCCTGACATAATTTTATATAGCGCGGGGCAGATACCGCTTTTTGTATAACTTTCATAAATATCATTCTCCACCGGTTAAGTTTCTCACATCTCTCCTCTCAACTTATAAATTAATACAACAATTCCGTCAATGAGTCAATAATTCTGGCAATCTTCTCATATTTTATTTAGAAGTTCGTGCGATTTTTCGTTATAAGGTAATTTTGTTATAATTTTTTATTATATTTATTGTTTATTATGATTATTTGAAAAAAATATTATGCTAATTATTTTCAATTAATTTTTGTGTTTGTAAAATTGGAAAGCGAGAGCATACGTCAAAATAGTTTTGCGGTGCAGGTAATAATATTAAATTATATTATTTAATTTATTTACGTTGATGTGTAAAAATTTTATTGTGTTATATGTTCGTTCATATATAATTTATTAAATCATGTTTGTTTCATTTATTTTTTTTACAGATATAATAGTGCCGCACTTTTAAACTCAAATAATGGCGCGACTTTCAGCTATTGTTTATTATGATGGTGAAATTCGAGAAGATGAAACCGGCGTTGTTTTCGTATCAAATGAGTGTGTTAAAATATCATTCAAGAGAAACATAACTCTTGAGGAGCTGATAACGAAGATTTCGAGGAAGATTCATGTTGGAAGTAGTAGAAGAGTGTCGTCATTGCAATATGGATTTCCAACATCATTGTTGCCATTAACTTATACAGCGTTCGAACTTTCGAACAATGATGATGTTGAAATGATGGTTGAAGCTCAAAGTAATTATTCAGACGCCGCTATTGAGATGTATGCACATTTTGTTCAAGTGCGTACTGTTCGGGGTCAATCATTAAAGTCCCACTCTGGGCTGACTGAACAAGTTGACAGCCCGACGACAGTAATGTGTAATGATTTTAATGCCATAATGGGGAGACATTCATCCGCAACTTCTTACGATATGTACCGAGGTAGGTCGACGAACAACCCGTATGCCAACATAGCGTCCAGTTCAAGGGGAAGGCATTCATCTGCTAATCCGTTTGACCTTATTATGGAGATGCCGTCGACGCAACCATCTCTGCAGTTTTCATTTAACGCGATGGCTTCAAGCTCTAGGGGGAGGCATTCGACTGCGAGCTTTTTTGATCTCAATGTCGATATGCCTTCCAGTTCAAGGGGAAGGCGTGCAAGTAGTAGGTTCTACGACCTAAATGTGGAGAGCATGGAAGAACCATCATCTCTACCAGAAGAACCGCTTCGTGAGCCTGGTGCGGATGGTGCTGAGACTGGACTATTCATTCACCCATAATCACCGCAATTCAACTCCGATGATGATGAAGTTCCAGGAAATGTGGCACAAGCTGACCCTCCTGCACATATGTATGAAGCTAATTATGGTGCAATATACGGGCCAGAATTTGCGGATATACCTCATCTCGGTGATTATGAGTATTACTCATCAATAAATAATGGTGAGTTATCTTTAGGCATGGAGTTTTCAAGCAAAGAAGAAGCGATGATGGCTATCAAAAATTACAATATCCGTAATTCTGTTCAGTCCAGAGTAGACCGCTCCACGACCGAAAAATATGTATACTACTGTGCCCAGCGTGAAAACGGATGCAATTGGATGGTTCGCGTATCGAAGAGGAAGAGGAAAAACAACAGATGTGAACTAACAGTATACAACGGTCCTCACACATGTTGTGCTGGAGGGGTCAACCAAGATCATCCCAACTTGGACTCTGAAGTGATATGCCAAGCCATCGTGCCCATGGTCAAAGCAAGCTCTCATATAGTTGTTGCAGTGTTGATTTCAGCTATACAATCGCAGTATGGGTACACTGTCTCCTATAAAAAAAACTTGGTTGGCAAAACAAAATGCCATTGTCAAACTTCATGGCGAATGAGATGCATCTTACAACGAACTTCCAGGTTGGTTTAGGCTGGTGTGGACGTTGAATTCTGGGACAATTGTGGACTTCGAAACCTCCTATGCATACCATAATGATCGAGTTCTTCGCGATCGATGCCAATTCTACCGGGTTTTTTGGAGTTACCCACAGTGCGTTAATGCTGTCAAATACTGCAAGCCTGTGGTCCAGATCGACGGGACTTTCTTGTATGGAAAATACAAGCAAGTTTTATTATTGGTAGTTATCCAAGATAGCAATCGCAACATTCTTCCAGTTGCTTTTGCTCTTGTCAAAGGAGAAGATACATCTTCTTGGGCTTTTTTCCTCCAAAATTTACGGGCACATGTTATCACGAGGGAAAACATCTGTGTCATTTTAGATCGTGGAGCTGGGATCAAAGCAGCAATGGGGTATTTGAGTCCAATGTGGCAACCACCCTTTGTCCAACATAGGTATTGTCTTCGACACATTGCCGCGAACTACCATGGAAGGTACAAGAAGAATGATGAGTGTCAATTAATTATGCGCATGGGTAAGTGAAACTTAGCAATTTTATTTTCTTTCGATCGTTTTAATTTTGCAAAGACAACAAGTTAGTAAGTTATACATTTTCTGATCAGGTTACGAACTACTTCCTCGAACGTTTGAATCAATGTTTCAAGAGTTGCGGGAGAAGAACGAGGAAGGATATGATTACATCAGCCTCATCGATAAAGAAATGTGGACGAACGCATATGATGGTGGATATCGATATAGACACATGACGACCAACTTGGCAGAGGCAATCAAATCAACCTTAAAGGGTGCACGTCACTTACCAGTAGCGGCTTTGATAAAGGCTACATATTTTTGTTTGGGGGCGCTTTTTACGAAGCTCGGGGGACAAGCTCAAACCTGGATGCAAGGCGGTCATGTCTATCACCCTAGATTAGTTGCAGATCTACAGAAAAAAATTGTTGCATCAAATGGAATGTCTGTAACAAACTTCTCTAGAAGGCATGAAATGTTTCGTGTTACAGAGTTACCGCGAGCTCTTCAAGGGATTGAAGCTGTGTCGTTAAGAGTAAATCTAAGGGACAGAACGTGCGACTGCGGGTTTTTTCAAGCTCTGAAGTATTCATGCTCTCATGTGATAGCAGCTTGCTCGCATACACGTCAAGACTATAACCATTTTGTGGATCCCGTATACCTACTATCTGAAGTTTTTAAGGTATACGAATTTGAGTTTCCCCCCATAGGTAATGACAAAGACCCTGATGAGGTTCAAGATTGGCTTCCGATTGTACCAAATCCGAGTTTATTGAGGGAGCGTGGTCATCCAAAATCCAATCGAATTCATTGCGATATGGATATTAGAGAAAGATCTAGACAAGACAGAAGATATAGGCATTGTAGAAACCCAGGACACACTAGAAAACCATGTCCACTTCTGTTGTCATCAAGTAACAATTGATGAGGAAATGATGTATTTTATTATCAAATAATAATTCTTGTACTTTAATTTGCATTTACTTCAAGTTAATGTCATTTGATAATCACCGATGAAGAATAAAAAAACAAACACAATCATTAAATTTTAACAAACTAATAACAATAAGTATTAAATGGTAAATGATAACCAAATTAAAATAACTGATATTAAATGGTAATAAACAAAAAGAACTGAAAAACATTAAAAAAGTCCAACAAATTTAACAAAATAAAGTAAGTATTAAATGAGAAATAAAAAAAAATTACAATTTAACAAAATAAAGTAAATACAAATATAATAAAAAACAAAATCTATCGATGCCTGCGACGCGAATGTGTTCCTCAGGGCGGTGGCTGTCGGTCTCGAGGAGGATTTCTTCGTATCATTGGTTCTGACTCCTCGCTGTCATAACCATCTTCATCGTCGTCGTCGTCGTCTTGCGTATGTACATTAGGTTGATGAGGAGCTGATGACGATGAAGCACCTCCATAGAATAAGGACCCTGGAGGTGTATGATTGACTATCCCACCGGCCTGCGAAAACTGGGAAAACTCATAAAACCCAGACATCGCTGAGTGTGAAAACTGTACAGGAGGCGGTATCTGTGCTGCGGCCATGGGTGATGAGGCTGAACCCGCCAAATATCTAGCATATGAACCCCATGTCGGATTTGCGAACATAGACTCATAATAGCCTCCAAGAGGGGTCATCTGTGACAGTGGCGGTGGTGGGGTCATAAAACTAGGTGAAGGCGGCGACATCTGGTAATGGAAAGGCAATGGCGGCATCATATATGGCTGCGGTGGCTGCTGGGAAGGTCCTGCTTATGCAGCTGAGGATGAACCGGAAGCACCTGCTCTCCGTCCACGAGTCGGGGGACGATGGTACTGTGTCGGTGAACGTCTCTATCGACGTCGTGGAAATGTCTGCCCTCGTGCATCCTTGGGAAGTAGAAACGGTTTCCCGTTACTGTTGAACCACTCATAATAATCATCAGCATACATCAAGAGGTTATAAAAAATGGGCTCTCTACGGGGAAGGCGCCGATGTCGATCCTCCCACAACACGACCCACCCATGATGCCTCACCAGCCAATATGTATCTGTCTTGTCGCGTCTATCTAAGCTATGCAACTCGTCCATATTGCGAGGTGCTTCCGGAATTGGTTGAAAAC